CGACACAGAGCCGTCTAAACCGATCCCCTCCACTGGCAATGCTGTGGCTGGCTGTCTGTCCGACCGTGACCTTAGTCGTCACTGTCGATGTATATAGGAAGTGAACGTCTCACCGACCTGGGCCGTTGGAGGGTGCACGTTTCTTGATCAAAGGCTACTAGCTTCGATGAGCCAAGTGGACAGTATTCTTTCATGCCTGCAGAAATTTTTCGGAGCCCCACATGGCACACGCATCTCATAAGAGCCTCCGCTGCTGCATTTTTTCGGTAGCATCGCTTCCTGTCGCCTAGCCCTGCCGTCTGTCCAATTGCGTCGTGTGGCCGTGCAGGGGCCCCCTTGATGTCCTGCTTCCTCCCCGTCAGGGGGGGACGGCGCCCAGGCTTCCGGGCATATGCATATCGACAACGTCCACATGCCACACATGTCACTTACAAAGCCTCAGTGATCAGTTGTCCCCCTGGAATGACCTTGCGTGCAATCCCAGGAGGCTACACAGGCACACAATCTTGCTTTCCGAAAGCAACACCATGACATCGTGGCCTTAGCACTTGGCAAATCCCTCGGTGCTTACAAGTTTGTCGCGTGATATACGCTTCTTGCATAGACTGTCCACTTTGCGAGCCGACATTCTATCAACTATGCCAAGCTGAAGCTGCTTCCTTAGCAATTCATCCACGCCCAGCTTCGTTTCACAGTGAATTAATTCAAGTGCACGGAGGAAAAAACTCCGAGAAATCTATAAGATTTCCTGGTCTGGTCGGTCTTGTGCTGTTCGTTGGGCGTTTTTGTTTGTTTGGATTGGTGTTTGGGGTTCGTTGTTTTTTGGGTGGTGCTTTTCGGGTTTTGACCACAGGAAATCTTTAATATCTTCAGTAGCTGACCTTCGCATTCTCTGCGATGACTGGCAGCAATACTCGTGCAAAAAAAGTGATGCTTGCTGTTTCTGTTCTCTTGAAAGTTCTCAAGGCCAGGTTTTGCTCTTTCAGTTCTAGCTTTCACTCGGGCTGTGTTTCGATCAGGCAGCGTGTTTTTGCAGGCCATCAACGACTTCCTTGCTTTTGTGTGTCACACCACACACCACCTTTTCAAAAGGGGCCATGTTTTTCAAGCAGTGTTTGTGTGGCGTCACCAATGCCGTTTTCGTTGTCAAAACAAGATGTTAGTCAATCAAGGGTTGGTGCAATGTTGGGAGCCGTGCGGCGTGTGCATCTGGCCAGTCGAATGTCCTGCCGCAAGTGCGGCATCAGTGCTCGAACTTGATTGCGATTAATTGGACCGTAATTCATGCCCTTCTTAAGATGGTTCACTATCCCTCATTGTGCGGGTGTGTGTGCTGTATTCGAAGGTGCGCCGAAGCACACCCGCTGCTCAAGTCCCAGTGCCTCTAGATCCAGGCTTACAGTTCAACTGGTCCCCCCAAGAGCGAGTGCAACGGGGTGAAACAAGGCTTTTGTCACACGCGCTTGAACCAAATGTATTGGCATGCATCATAATCATATGTGATAGCATTGCGTAAGAACATCATATTCTGACACTGAAAGCAACAACAATGGAGGCCCCAAAAACAAAATGCAGGACAATGCAGGGGCATGCATGTGTCCAGTTGTGGATGATGGACCAACAATTTTCGCAAATTCCAAGTTTTGGATTTGCTGCAGACATTTTGATTTCTCCATCGCGCAGACAGCTACAACACCCAATGTCAACAGCTGCCCCGTTTTGTGCGCTTTTTCAATTGTGATGGAAGGATGGCCGCGCAAGGATGGAAAACTCTTCCAACATGGCCATGGCAGCCAAAGCAACCCAAATGCATCGAACAAATTTTGCAAAGACATGAACACATTTCACACAGTATATTGCCTATCGAGCCAATCGAACAGTTATTTAGTTATTTTGTTTAGTTTTCTACGTTGTGTAGGACAATGCATCAAACATGGTGACACATGATCTACATGAATGGATGTAGGAGGCAAGTACATGGTGATGATAAACAAGATCCGTAACATTGCCAGTTGGTTTCTTATGTCGACCGATAAGTTTCAGAACCAGAGTTTTCAATCGCCTTCGGGTTTTGCGGTGGCCAAGTGTCTTCTCAAGAACTGCAATTCATGTTACGACATCACTCAACCATGTTGAATTTGGGGAGTTTTTTTTTTCTTTGTTTAATGTTGACAGAAAAGGTAGGCATTGTTGGAACTTGTTCTTTCAGAGTCTGCTGAAAATTGATCGGTTTGTTCCCTTGGTCAATGCAAATAACCAATCCCTCATGTTTGAAGATGACGCCAAAATTCGCCAAAATTGCCACACTTGCAAGAACTTGATGGCCAACCTTCTTTCCCAACCACGTAAACTCTTGCAATGGTTGGGCCACACATGAAAATGATTGCGACCGATAAAATGAGGCGATGTCCTTGGTGTTCTGGTTCGAAGGCCCATAGCTTTCGATTTCCATGTGGGCCTTCTAACGAAGTCGGAGCGCAGAGGCCGCAGTCGGACTTCTGCAATCAGTCCACATGTGCCTTAAGTTTCAGTCTCGTGTTTCTCCCAACTGCTCTTGCAAGGGCGCCCACCCCCCTTTTGGGGCTCGGATGTGCAGACAGTTCCATATAGTTGGAGTGGCTTTAGTGACAACCTGAGGATGCATTGCCAGCAGTAGGAGCTGCGGAAGACAGTCTAATTTTGCAATCGGAGCAGGCGAAAAGCAATTGTTTGCAGGTATCTCTTTGGGCAACAGGATGCACTGCCACGAAATATGTGGACCAGGTTGATCTAGATAGTGTTGGATGCCTTTGTATCCTGCAATCGTGTCTTGCTACAGGTTGTCCAGATGTTGAAGAAGCTCGAGGATGGAAGCAAAGAGAACATGCATAAAGAGAAGGTGCCCAGATATGGCTGTGCGTCAAAACCCGGACCCACCTCCCTAGTAGTCTATTCTGTTCATTTTCTGTGTTCCCTGTCTCAGTTGCGACTTGGGCAAGGGGTTTGCGGGTTTGCTTGCCTGGCTTGCCAGCTTGCCTATGCGAAGTATCAGAGCTTCTGCAAGTCCAGCATCATGGAAACTGCTGCAAGTCCCGCTCCCAGTGACTCCAATTTGCACGGATTTTTACATGCAATTTGCACTGTTCAAATCAATTGCAGGAGTCGGACTTGAACGAGTCGGAGGTTTTTACAATCGGACTTTGCATGTTTTCTGAGGTCGCGAGAAGGCGACCTATGAAGTCGAGAGGTTGAAGGATGGGCCACCCATTTGAGGGCGACGGACCACCATCGGACCAGACCGCTTTCTTTGAAAAGGCTGAAATCGAGAAGTGCCAAATGGATGGAAAGGTGCCGGGTTCGTTCCCTTCAGCTCAAAACTTCTCCAGATGATTTGGTGAACGCGGGTTCGTTAGGCCATTTTGCACGCCATCCGCGAGTTGGAGTCCAGCATTGAGCTTATGTTTGAGGGTATTCCTCAACCCAGCAACAGTTGCATATTTGCATGACTATTGCAGCTGTCACTGATTGACCTTATATTTACAAAATCGAGTACACCCCAAGCTATGTGTTGAATTGACTTTTAAGTCACATGCCAAGGCATAGAATCCTGGTCACAGAGAAGGCAAAGTGCATCGTGGCTACGAAAACAGGAGCCCCATGAAGGTATATCTTAGCCTGTGTAAGGGGCCCAATTGAATCATTTGTGGTGCGACAGGACGCTTCAGACGCCAAAGACACCTTGAAGCAGTTGGAACACTCACACCAGGCGCCACAGGAAAAGGCATGAGCAACACGACGGCTTCCGCCAGTTTGATCAGCCGTGAGGCGATCCAGCTCGCGCTCCAAGTTGCAAGCTGAGCCAGCCACATGATGGGTGTGAATATCTTTGCGATTCTTATCAATACTTTTCTGGCCACCTCGTGTTCAAATCATGTCAGACAGCGGGGGATTGGTCGGATCGGTCCCGTGAAATTTGTTGTGGATGTTCCTCTCTCCCGCATAGTGAGGCTATGAAAAAAGGCTCTGAGGCATGAGTTTGGAAGAGAGAAAGTGGTTGGTGAGGCACTTGTTGGTTCAGGCAAGCACAGAGACAAAGAAAAGCGGCAGCGTCAAAGAGCTACTCCAAACCTTGAAAACGAAGACAGAGGCCGGACAACGACAGCCTGTGTGGTCTATGTCATTACAAGAAGCCCTAGTCATCACTGTCTGATTGATATTCTAGAACGCTCGTAAGGGTACTCGGCAGGTACCTTTTTATGATTCTTGCATTCGCATTGCTTGCACACAGAAGTTGCATCGTGCCTACTCATGATGGTTGCAGGAACAGCGTGTCCAGGCAGAACAGCAGGAGTTTGATGCTGCAAGGCACTTCTAGCGATACCTAAACAGATCTTGTCCGTGTAGTCCACATCAGGAGGGTCTTGCACATTGAAAGTCAAACTCCTTGCTATCTCAGTGCACAGTCATCTCATGTTTGCCAAAGGCGAAAGACATGCAGAAGATGTGAATAAGTCAATGATTTGCTCTCACAAGTATGCAGGAACCACGAGCTACTCTCAGCACAATTGTTGATGAACCAAAAGCAAGCAAAGACTTCCTTGACTCAAAGAAAGCTGGCAAAGGCTCGTCACAGCAGGGCTTGTGTCTTTCTTCTTCTTCTTCTTCTTCTGTGCGTTTGCTCGCCCCACCAACCCTCGCGACTCCGCGCGCCATTGCGGCGCCCTCAGGAGGATCTCTCCAAGGCCCTTTCGATGCTGCAAGGCGATCTCCACATCGCCCAGGCGTCCATCGTCGACCCGAGGGACGTGAGTGGGGAACCCGGGCGCCGAGGCCACCGAGGCGGAAGAGGAAGAGAAGATCCAAGCGATTCGTCCCGGTGCTCGGGTGCCGAAACGGAGTCCAAAGACGCGAGATCACCTGGTGCGAGGGAGGTCTGGGGTCAAGACTGAGGTTCTGAGTGTATGGAGAAGGCTGTGGAATACGAGAAGCACCAGGTGGCGAGTCAGTGCTGTTTTCGGCAAGTCAGTGCTGTGCGCCGACTCCATTCCTTTACCAGCAGCCATTCAGCGTGACAAGATCTATATAGAGTGCAATTTTTCATCATGTTTGCTTTCTCAGCCTTGGAAGCTCATCCTCTTGGCACTCGACCTGAATATATTCCTGTTTTCGCTCTGGGAGTCGCCACCGAAACTAGTTGTAAGGCTCGGGTGTAGAAAGAAAATGAAACCGCCAGCGAAGCATCTTCTCCCTGTTGCCAGCCGCAGCTATTCTTTGTGCGGCAAGGACCCTGTTACCGGACCAAGAGAAAGACGGACACCTGTGACGCATCCGATTTTTGGCGAGTTGGATCGAATGGTGCTGGGTCAACCCATTGGTGGGGAAACATGTCAAGGTTGAAGGTTTTTTGGAGGGAAGTCTTGGGATACATCGGACACAAGGTGTACTTTCAGACTCCAGACATTCATGGGTTCATGGCGCCTTCTGCACGTGAGCTCTTGAAGCGTGTGGAGAACGCCTTGGGCACTGATCGACGCGAAGTTCTTGAAAGCCTACGAAAAAATGGAAACCTGCTGGCAAGGATCCCAGAAGAGCTACGAACTGACAAAGAAGTGGTTTTAACCGCGGTTCGCCAATGTGGCTCCGCAATGGAGTTTGCTCTGGAACCCTTGCGAAGTGACAGGGAACTTGCACTTGAAGCCGTCAAACAATGTGGACATGCTTTGGAGGTTGTGGAGCCTTTGTTCCAGGCAGACAAAGAGATTGTCCTTGCTGCGGTCTCGGAGAACGGCAATGCCATCCAGTACGCGGACCTAAGCCTTCGCAAGGATCCTGTCTTTTTGCTGCATGCGCTGGGTCAAGGCGCTGCTGCAGCATCGGCCGTTGCCTTCGCAGAAGAACTCTTGCAGGATCCTGCGTTCCTCAAGGAAGTGGTCAGAAGAAATCCCTGGACGCTGGGTTTTCTGCCGGAGCCTTCAAGGCGAGATCCTGACATTATACGAGAAGCTGTTCAGAGAAACGGCCGACGTTGGAATCCTCTGCATCCCAATTGCAAAAGCAGCGGTCGAAGCACTTGGACGCGTCGATCTCCAGATTCAGCGCAGCCCTCACGCGTGAGGGCCGTAGGGCCGTGCCCAGTCGGGAAAGGCATGACTTGTTTTGGCCGTGCTGTGGCGAGGGACCGTGATCGGTAGAGATAGATCTGACACTCGCCCTCGATCGACCAAAGTGGCCGGTCGCGTCTGCGCTTGTTTCGATCGAAGACCGGTGCGAAGACTTGTTTTGACCGGTGACTTTTGGGGACCTTCGCTGTATTGCCAGGCAGTTCGTGAGGAGGAGCAAAAGGCTCTGGACATTGCCAAACGAATTCTTTTGAGCGATGAGGTCCGAGCCTCAAAAACGTCCATCCAGGTCCGGCGAGGGGCCTTTCGTGCGGCCAGTGGCACTCACACACTGACGCGCCACTCCACTGGTAAATCTCAGCGATGTCCGCAGCGATTTTCGACACGAGTTCCACTGAAGAGATGAGCATGAGGGCATTCACGCGCGTGCTTGTAAAGACTCCACGTCAGACATCCTGGACATCGTGTTTGACAGAAGTGTTGCATATAGGTCCGGTTTATACCTTTTTATAATACAATATATTATAGGATTATAGTCTATTTATTCATCATCACACAAGAAAGGAGCAGACACCAAAAGGATACTGCACCCAACACCATTTCTCAATCTGATATGGCAACAGCTCATGGCGACTCGCTACATGAGACACTGCACGCCTTCGAGGTGCAACTGCATGTGTTCATCTTCAGCTCAAGGTGATGCGGTCTGTAGCTGTTGGGAGCTTTCTCAGGTGTATGCAACTGCCCTACATCCTCTGCTGGATAATTTGGAAAGCCTCCAAAAGGCCTTGAGCCTCCTACTTCGAGGTGACAGTACCGGAGGTGGTGCATCTCGACCGCAGAGCTGGCAAATTTTGGCGATGACCGACTGGTAGAATTCGAAACTGCACGCAGTTGGACTTGAAGCTGATTGAAATGCGGAGGTTCTTGTGAACCTTGGGCCTTTGCTTGACAGTTGCGACCTAAGCTATTTCAGCTTCGGGCAACATGCTGAGAGCACAGAACTCAGGGTCTTTGCTTCGAAGTGTTGCAAGCTCTCGCCCCTGCTTGACGATCCAACTTGCAGCCTTTTGGCATGGTAGCATTCAAGAAAGAAGTACAGCTATTTCCTTTAGCAGGCCCCCAAGTCACATACAAGGCATCTCTTGTTCATTGGCCACTGTGTTTTATGCAGCCAGCACTTCTTGCTTGTGAGGATGCTGTATGGATGATGTGGTCAAGTGGTGCCTTGAACCTCGGGAGGGGCCAGCTGCCGTGGCCCGCGCCAGGCCCCCAGTGGCGAGCGCAAGCTGGCCGTGCCGTGGCCCGCGCGTGAGGCGTGCGCGTACGTGGTTTGGGACGAACAGGGCCGTCCCATGGAAGTACCATGTTTTCTTTCTTAGATCCTTTTTTTTTCGATATCGATGCTGAGGTCACCATCTTAGAGTTTGTGCCTCGTCTTCGAAGACTGACTGCAGGTCGAGTGAGTTGAGTCTTGACTCACCCTTCCGTTCCAGGCTGCTTCGGCTGCTGCGGACTCCACTGCGTCATGGGTTCAGATGCTGATAGATGAAGCACCTGCAGTTCTCACGAGAACACCCAACTTGGTGCCCAGCAAATTTGGAAATGTCGCTTGACTGCAGGTCAGACCAGATGCGTTGTGAAAAATCGGAACTTCCCAAGAGCATGCTCTTTGAGTAGTTGAATTTCGGTTGAATTCAACGAAAGGTACTCTCTGGCCTTTTGAAGGAGGAGCAGGCCTCCGAGTGGCTCAAGTTGTTGGGGGAGCAAGCCTTTGCCACTTGCCAAGCCATAGACACGAACGACAAAGCTACTTGGTCTGCTCGCCACTTGAGCTGAAAGCCTCGCTTTCCGAAGGCACGAGTCGAACGCAAAGCATCTCAGGCGCCCTCATCGAACACAGCGACCGGTCCCTTGGAGAAGAGCGAAGCATTCCAGGCCTTTGCCCAGGCTGCAACTGCAATGCTACCCACCTTCAGCAACCAATCCATGTGCTCCTGGGCTGCAGTCGACTCGAGAGAAATAAGCTTTGGTTTTCAACCGCACCCAAGTTCATGTTTCACCACAGTGTGTCGTGCAGGATTTTGGTTTGCTGTGAAATCGTCCAATCAACCAAGAAAAACCAAGGTTCTGATGCATGGCAGGTTGCCCATCGAGCCATGATTGCGCCTTAATCATGCGCTCGACGATTGTGCAACTTCTGTCCGTGTTGTCCGCTTTTGAGGCTGGACGATGCTACAGTGAGGAAGATCTGTGTCCAGCAACTCTTGCCAAGCCTGGCGTGTGTCAGCCACTCCCATCAGGCAGTTCTTTTATGAATCTAGAGCAGAGTACAGAAATGAGAACTGGAACTTCATGCTTCATCATGCTTAACCTAGGAGAACTTTGCAAACAAAGTAGCAGCTGAGCTTGGCAACTTTTGGAAGGAGGCTGCTAGCCGAATCTCTCAGATGATCCAAGCTGTGCTGGGAGCAGCAGAAGGTCATGCACCGCGCACGAACAGCGAGTGGCGTTTCCTTTTTTTCTACATTTATTGGTGAACAATGAACTCCATATTCTATTCAGTAAAGGGATCACCTGGTACGAGTCAACACAAGCCTATACTTGTTACACAGGTCATCGTTTGCCAGATGACGGCGTATCCAGACCATACCTGTTACTTCGGTACGTCAAACCATACCCGTGCAGCTCTTGCCTCCTTACAGGCGGATGGACTCTGCCAGTATCCGGCGCGTGATCTCTCTAAGTATGCCAACCGGGTGAGCTTTTCCCTGTGTATTCTAAGGTGAATTCTACTAGTCTCATTCATTTGGGATTCGGGCCCACACATGTTGGAGGATGGTCGTCCCTCATATCCAAAATCAAAGGAGGTGATCTTGCTTTACACACTTACCGTGATCTTCCTGGTCAAACCTACCCGGCAGGCTTTTGCTTTCCTGGTGCTAGATCCGCTTTCTCCTGTCTTTACACAACATTCTGCAGACCTCGATGAGTCTGATTTGCGCATCCAACACCTGGCACCGCGTTTTCGCACGGCCTGGCCGGCGTGCGGAGCCAATGGCTGATCCACTGGTCGACACAGTATGGCTCCTTCATTCTTGGAACGTTTTGCACCATGTTTTCGCCTCTTCGTGGTAGGGTCATGAAAACTGTTCTAGGGAACCGCCACCTGGGCATTTGGTCTCCTTTCTGTTTCTGACCACTTTCTGTACCCGTTCCATAGCAATGGGAGCAAGGGGGCTGGACGTTGTCCGCAAGTCGTATGGAGTGATAGTGATATTCATTGGATCGAACACGGAAGGCGGGAAGCAGTGCCTCATCGCTTCGATTCGAGAGGCGGGCCGGGCGGGTCGGCTCCTTCCAGTCGACTTGCGCTTGAGTCGACTTGGTCTCAAACGGCGTCCGCTTCAAACGCCTCAAAGGGCCATCTGAAGCAATTTCGAGGCCTTGAATTTGGCCGTGGCCTTTTCCAACCTGTTGCTGGAGCACTGGAAACTCCCATCTCTTCAAGGAGAGCGATGCCGGCTCACGCGTGCCGCGGTGGTCCCGCTCACGGCAATCGCACGGAATCGCTTCGTCGGTTCCGAGGAGACCACAGCAAGATCGGCGTCGTGTTGATCTCGGACGGCCTGCGCTTGGGACTGAAGGACTGCGGTAGCTTGCGAAAGCAGGCACGCTTCTTGCTGGAATCAGCAGTCCAGCATCTCGTCAAGCATGGCAATGCATGTATTCCAGAGGCTGCCTAACACTTTGCACTAACTGACTTGGTGCACTAAGGAGGGCCCTCGCCTGCAAGGAAGCAGAAAGCCAATTTCGGCAAATAGCCGGGGTGAATCTGGCTTCCGTAGCTTCGGCGTGGAGAAGCTACTGGGAACCTCAGTTGACGTTGGCTTGGGCTTTGTTTGTGCAGGTTCCTTGAGATTTGCAGCCCCAAAGGTTGCGCAGGTTGCGTCATGCAGCATGGCAGTTTGATTCCATGTTTTTTGTTCTTTTAAAGGGCTCAACATGACCTTCGCTTTCATTGGTGAATCCTCCTTTTGCTTGAGGAACTCTTTGATACTCTGGAGGACTACTCCAGCCACTTGATCAAGGCGAGTTGGGATGCCCTGAGCTCACGCTTAGTGCTTTTTGGTTGCAGCTCGCGAGACACGCGCGTGACCGGCACGCCGAAGGGCGTGGTACGAGTCAAGCGAAGCTTCGAGCCCGAGGCAGTATTTGGCCGAGCTCCCCAAGGGTCACGCAGCTGCAAGCGAAAGGGGGAAGCGATGGCCTCCAATCTATATACTAGCGATGGCCTCCAGCCTACTCCAGGAAAGGGGCGGGGCAGATTTGAAAGAGAATCGTCTGATCATATGTCATTTTTTTGCCAATTTGCATTTTTCCCCAAGGTTCATGCCTTCCGCCCATGGTTTTCAATCCGAGCTGGCTGGAAGTGTTTTTGGTTCGGGCGCTCGACCATGATAATGACAGCGTGCAGAAGTTCGTGCTGGGAAAGCTTATGAGCCGCTCGTCGGGATGTGACGATTCAGTGTTGCAGGTGGAATCTTATGGCTATGTCTCAAATAATGAGACCCAAACACTCGCAGGTTGGATGGGGCATCCTTGTTTTTGAGCCATCGCCCTTCTTTTCTCGGGCCTGCGATTCTTTTGCTTGATACCGACCTCTGTGGCCCCCGACCTCTCCTGTGAGCTATGCTCCCGAATGGCATACGGTTGAGGCCTCGATCAACGAGCTGTATGCCTTTCTGAGAGCTTTATTCTGACCGAAGTCCTTCCCAGATTTGGGCGTGGAATCGACAGCCTGTATCCTCGCACAGATGTGGAGAGCCTTGGCTTGGCAGAAAACTGAGGATGACTTGGAGTGCATGCATTTTGTTTTTGCGTTGTTCTGGATGATTTTATGCTGAGGAGAAGTTTCGAACATCAAGTGAAGAGCTTCTTCCTGGGCTTCTCTGCACAACATCCTGAAGGTGCAGCTACGGCAGCAACGAGGCCATTCATATTCTTATGGTAGATGAGATTGTTATGCACGTGACATATGCGACATAAAATCACAGTTGTTGCTTGGACATGTTCCTGAAAGCTGGCACATGGCTTTTCAGGTTGCTGGAAGCACTGTTTGAAGTGCCAGCGATACATTATACTCCAGTGCGTTTGGTTCTTTCAGCACTGATAGAAGCAGAACTGGACAAGCGCATATTGACATCGAGCCGAACATTGGAACTGACAGATAGGCTCGATCCCGAGAATTCTCATCATGTTTGCTGAACAACATAGGATTCTCATCATGTCTGAGGATTCTCCTTTCCATTTGAGCCAAGGTTCTTTAGCCAGGAGATGCTTTTGCGAATCTTGGCAGTCAAATTCTGGTTGCCAACGAGTCTTGGAGTTCACTCAAGTGCCGAGGAATGCCAAACAGCATCCGGCAGCTCCTGGCATCAATTTTCCTCCGAGTGCTTGTGCACCTGTGCATAGATTCCAAAGATTCTTCGGAATCTGCCATTCTTGTGGCCAAAGTTGCCAAAACATTTGCTTCAATCCCTGAGTCTTGGCTTTGCATTGTAAAGAAGAAACGTCAACATCTTTAGACAAGGGTCTCTTGCAATACGTCGACGTTCTAGCTGCCAACCAGGATGCCTTGCTTGTTCCTTTGCGACATGATCTTCGCAGCGTGGCGGAGATGTGTCTCGCTTTGGACGCAGATGCTGCTGCTGCTTGTGCTTTGTCTATCCACTGTGAAGCAGATGGATGATCGGGTGAGAGGATAGAGTTCGGCTTTGTTGTTAATCACTTGCTGAGCTGAGGTGTTGGGATGTTCATGAACACCCTCGTGTCGAGCGATGATCCTTTCGGTGAGAAAAGATTTTGAAGGTTTGAATTGAATATTAGCTGAGGGGTCTTGGGGATGGAATCCAACCAGTTGCGTAAGAAATTGCCCACGAGTTTGTGTCCCAAGGATGGAATGCTTCCAATGGAGGCTGCTCAGTTGTCCCTGGGTGCAGTACGTCTTCTTTGGGCTTTGCAAAGCGGAAAGGCCTGGGGCTTTGCAACAGATTTGATGGGCAAAAGCTCGGCCGCACCCCCGTGCGTTCGCTCGGCCGCGAAATCGCCAGGATTTCTTCGTGAGCTTGGCGTGGCCTGCCATCGCCGGTGCCTCGAGCTCCCCGCGATCCGGAAACTGCCCATATGGACGGGAGACTAAGGTACCTGCTTTACAGGATTTGCACCGGCGCAGCTACATGCCACGGAGGACCGCGGTCTCTGCTCTATATATTCTAGCCTATTCAGCCAGCTTGTGGCCAGAGGCTTCCACTCAGGCGGAGCTCGATTTGCAGAACTGCCGTAAATCGGTCCGGTTTGCTGTACGTTCATTCAGTGTCGATCTGTTTTGGGTTTTTGGGACCTGTGCCGAAAGTGTCGTGAAAGTGTGAAAGTGCAAGCCGAACCCTTCGAAGAGGTGGACTTACATTCTGAAGCGCGAAGTGAGATCCTCTCCTATGTGGAGGGCAAAGCCTTGATCTCCATTGGGCAAGGGAGGCGAATCAGATTCTGCCCAACCCGAGCCTCCTTCTCCGTTCGGCTAACCGTTCGATACGCCGTTGTTCGCAAGGCCAGAGGAGGTGGTGCAAGAAGCGCCATGGGTCTGGCTCTACGCCCTGGTGCTGGAACGGTTCTGGCATCCTTCTGCGCAGGTGTGCCAGGTGCGGCTGTGCAGATTTCTCTGCAGGGCATTGAACTGCATTTCCAGGTGGGTTTGGGTGAAAACGGTGAAAGGTACTTCTGACACACACCAAGAGCTTGCTCCAAGAAGAAGTCGGAACCGGGGCGGCCGCAGTGTCCACTTGATGCAAATTGGAAGACACTTGAAGAAGCTCATTCTTTCGTTTCTCTTTCGCCTTTGTGAAGCCTGAGTTCAACACTCTCCCTTTGGAGACTTTCTCGATCCCTTGATTTCCATCACATTTTCTTCAGGTTAAGTCATGTTGCAGCTGCTTCACTGCTTGGTGCCATGGCGCCCAAAGTTGACGTCGCTGTGACTCGGCGGATAACCGAAACATCACTCAAAGAGGCTGAATAAAAAGGGAAGACAGAAAGATGAAGCCGTTGGAACAAGAGCAGGAAAGAATCTGCTAGGACAATCGAAAGACGTTGAACAAAGACATGTGATGGGGACATCGCCAGGAGCAGTGCAAGATCTTTCATCTCCTATGCCAATTTCAAGCGCCTGGCAAGCCTGCTGGCGACTCTTAGCTCATGTGACTCTTGTGCTCTTTCTTTTCTTCGTCGCATGGCAAACCTTTCGTTTGAATTCAGACCAAACTGCCGACAAAACTGGAAGGTGGCAGACTCCAGATTTGTCATTGGCGTCACGGAAGAACATGGACACTGGGATCGCCTCCGCCTGGAGGACGGAAATCGATGCCACAGATGTGAACCAGGTGAGAGGTCAGCAGCCGGTGCCGCTCCTCGCGACTCTCGGCGCTGCGCAGACCTCGCGACTCTCGGCGCTGCGCAGACCTCGCCGAAGATCGGGCGACGCGAGGAGTTTGAAGATCTCCATCGGATGCAACGGGAGGGCTTGGGTCGCATCCAAGAGTGGCGTGATGCATCGGCCGTTGTTTTGGTGGCCAAGTGGCGCGCTTTGGCACAGATCGCCACTGGGCCGGATGAGAGTTTTCTTCACTCTTGTGAATGGATGGAACACTAATAGCACTGATAGCCACAGGCTTCTTCAGCAGGATTCTATGATGGCCTTGCTGCATCTGGTGTCCTGGCTAACACTTTCGAGCTGTTCGTAGGAAGACTTTCGAGACCTGTTGAATCCTGCAATCAAATCCCGACATCGCCCTCTGAGCACGTTCGCATGCACGTTCGCTACAAGGCCCTCGGTCACATCGGTGACCTCTAAGGTGGCATTGTTGAGGTTGCAGCTGAGATCCTTCTTGAGCTCGATTCATTGCAAACCCCGCATGTGGCATATTGGGCCATCGTTGCACGTCGACTCGCTTACCCAGCCTATTTTCAAAGCAAAGCGATTTTAGGCGAGGAAACAGATGCAAGCGAAGCGAAGCAAGACTTCTTTTGGGTGGTTGAAGAGGTCATGAGTCATGAGTCTTCAGGAGAGAAGCAGGAGGAGATGCTGCAAAATCTCTGTCGATGTATACGTGGCTTCATCTCGCAGAGCATTGGAGATAGTGCCTGTGCAGAATCGGGAATTGGGCGGAGAACTTTTGTGCCGATGACAGCTTTCGATCGCTTGTGTGTCATGAGCCCTGGCAACTATTATATTTGCTGAGTCAATAACCACTATAGCTTTAGGTCTCCAAGACTTTCCCTCTTTAGGTTTCCTGGGTCGCACCTTCGAGTTTGGGAACCTCCCAATCCGCACCTGGTGGATCCTGGTGCTTTCAAACCGGACTCTTTGGACCTATTGGGCTCCTTTCTCGCTCCCGTCCCGGCCTCGATTACGGGCTTCTTGTTCCTAGTAGCGATGCCAGGAGCCCCTAGTAGCGTCCTTGCTCCTAGT